ATTTTAAGAAGAAGCTGCTAAAAAGGAAAAATACATAGATTCCTCAGCAATATTTCTGCTTGTACCATGTCCCATAAGCAGGCACACCTTGGAGATATTGTGGGTTCAGCTCCAGATCACTGCAAAAAGGGAATGCTGCAATAAGGCAAGGCAGATGAATGTCTGTATGTTCACGTCAAATCTAAGAAAGTTATGTTCACACTATACTTTAGCCTGCTAAGCCTGCAGCAGCATTATATCTACAAAACCAGTGTATATGCCTTAACTTGAAGATGCTTTATTGCCAAACAATGCTAGCCATGATCTAGGCTTCCAACAAGTTGTAATCTTCTTGCTGGTGGAAGGACTAGTAAACAAACATAGTATCTACATAGTGCAATAAATCAAGGTATGCCTGTGTTAACTCCCTGGTGGCAAAGGGGTTAAGCACAGCACTGTGAAGCTGTCTGCAGCCTCTGCAGCACGAGTTTGATCCCCGGCTGGCCAGGGAGCTACCCACATGGCACAACAGTCCTCTCCCAACTCTCCAGCTGCTCTCCTCAGCAGTGTGTTTCAGTCTCCCTGTTCTGCTCCCCACTCTGTCTCTGGTGAATCCTCTCACCACCACCCCCCGCCCCCGCCATACCTCTGGCCTGTACCCAGCTTTTGTACACATAAATAAATATATCTTAAAAAAAAGAAAGAAAAAAAGTCGTTATACATATGGTAAAAAACATTTTAAATGGTAGTAAAAATATATAAATCAGAAATAAATGTCTCCCTTCTCATCTCCCATCCCCAGTTCCTGTACCCAAACACTTAACAGTTTTATGTCTCTCTCTAAACAGTTCGATGCACGTAACTACATGCTTTTTATTTAAAAATACAGAAATAAGACCAAATGCATACACTTCTGCATTTTTGTTTCAGTTTTCAAGTAGCCTTCCTCCCATACCCACAGACAGACAGCTCTATCTCCTTGCATTGGATATTGCATTGCATGAATATCCAATATGACTGTTTACTTAAGCAATTTTTTACTGATGGACATTTAGGTTGTTTTTAGTTTTTTCTATTTTAAAAATATCTGCCATCTTTGTATACATTTCTTAATATCCCTCAAGCAGTTTCCTAGAAGTAAAATTCTTCAATCAACTGTGTGCACCTTTAAAGTTTTAACAATCTAACTAAATTGCCTTCAGTCTGGCTGAGTCAATGTGATGGGTGTTTGCCTATTCATATACCCATCAATGTTGATGGTTATAAATTTTTTAAATGTTTACAAATCTATTGGGTCAAAAATATCCCATTGTGGTTTTGACTTGCATTTCTTTTTTTAAAAAGATTTATTTATTTATGCATTCAAGAACTAGGGTACAGGCCAGAGTTGGGGGGGATGGTGAGAGGATGCACCAGAGACAGAGTGGGGAACAGAACAGGCAGACTGACTGAAATACACTGCTGAGGGGAGCAGTGGGCGATTCAGGAGAGGTCTGCTGTGCTATGTGGTTGCTCCCTGGCTGGGGATGAAACTCATGCTGCAGAGACTGTGGATAGCTTCATAGGTTGCATCTTAACCCCTTGCGCCACCAGGGAGGCCCGACTTTCATTTCTTAAATTATAAGTAAGGTGAGGAAATATCTTTTTATTTGCTTAAGGTATATTTGTGCTTGGTTTACTGTCTATATTTTTTGAACTGTTTGCCTTCTTCTAGTATGTATTTTTGCATTTTGTAAACATTTATTATGTTCTTTTGATGTGGTGACCACTATGCTGGGTGCCAGAAGTAGAACAATGAGGAAACTCTACTGTCTTTTGTCCTTTTGGAGTTTACAAGGCAAACATTAATCAGATCCTGTTCTGTGCAGATGTGTGTACCAACTGGGTGAAAGGCCTTGAAGGAAAGGCTCTTGCATTTGTGAGAACATGTGAGGAAGAGACAGGACTGGATGGAGGGGGAGGAGACTGCTCTGGAGAAGCAGATATCTAAAGAACACATAGAACTTGGCATCAGGGGCAGCATTTCTGGAAGAAGTAACAGCATTGTGGAGGGACCATGATGTATTAGGTGAGCTAAAAGGGGGCCAGGGAGAAAGCACAGAGGGAAGAACAGACAGACATGAGGCTGAATTGTATTACCTGGGGCCCTGACCCCACAAATTATTGGGGTTTTTCCTCCTAGAGAAATAGAAAGCCATGAAATGGTTTGGAGCTCTATTTGGTGGTCAAATCTGCATTCTGCAAATATTACTCTGACTGAAAAGAAGGGTAACAGGAAGACCAGTGAGAGTTTTTGAGTTAGTCCAGATGAGATCTAATGGTAACTTGGCCCCTGGGCTATGACAGTGGATATGAAAAGAAGCAGATGTGTTCAGGAAATATGGAGGAGGTAAAATAAAATTTGATGATGGATTAGACATAGGGGTGACGAAGGGAGAAGGCATCCAGGATTACTCTGGATGTCTGATCAGATGAATGGTGGCACCATTTACTAAAAGAAGAAACACTAGGAGAGGTCAGGGATGAGTTCAGTTTTAGAAAACATGTCTGAGTGAAGCTGTCAAGTAGGCAATTAGATATAAAATTCTGGTACCAAAGGAAAAGTCTGGATTGGAAACAAATTTGGAAGTCACTGGAATGTTGAGATTAAAACCATGGGCATGGACGAAACTGTCCAGGAAAGGGTTACAAGACCCACAGCTGGTCTACTTCTAATCTTTAAGGAATGCTGATAAGTAACGGCCTAGTAGATGAGAGAGAAAGGAATATGAGCAGCCCAAAAACAGAAGAGAAGGAAGCTGAGCATGGTGTTCCAGAAACCAAAGATGTTCCCCGTGGGAAGGAGTGGTCAGGAAATCCATACACAGCTGAGAGGTCCAGCAGGAGAGGCTAGGAAATGCCCACTGGATTTACCAACTTAGAGGTCTTTCTGACATTCATTTGCATTGTTTCAATGAGATGATGACGGTAAGAGTCAGATTTGAGGTGGCTGAGGAATTGGAAGTTACAAAATGAAAACACTGTCTTCTCAGAAAGTGTGGTTTTTGAGAGAAAATGGCCTCCACCCCTCTTCTTCCTCGGTCTCTACTCTTAACTTGGTTTTGCCACTCAATAAGCTGAATTAATTTTATAATTCAGTCTTCCTTGTGGTCTTGCGGTAGCTGTGGAAACCAGCCAACCAGGGGTAGAGTCCTCCGGGGAGGTTGCCGAGAATCAGATGCTCTTCTGGCCTTCATATAACTTCTGATTCTACAGACCTGGGAAGGCCCATTGAAGAAATACTGCTGAAAATGAGACAAATACAAGGAGTATTTTAGAGACAACTGCTGAAAATATTAAGGATGAATGGGCTCTTGGATTTGCAAAGTGAAAGGGGTCATGATTTGATCATTAGTTGAAGCTGGATGATGTGTGCATGGAAGTTTATTATACTGTTCTCACTACTTTGTTTATGTATAAATTTTTCATAGTAAATTGTAAAAAATTAAATCTAGCAACTCTGTAAAGTGATGCAGAGTAGCCACCACAGGCCCACTATGTGTCTGGCACTTATAATAGGATCTCCTTTATTTTTTTATTTTTTTTTAAAGATTTATTTATTTATTTATACAAGCACTGGGTACAGTCAGAAGTGCAGGAGGTTGAGAAAATTCACCGAGCCAGAGCAGGGAGCAGAGCAGGCAGAAGGACCGAAGTACACTGCTGAGGGGAGCAGCAGGCGGCAGGAGAGGTCTGCGCACCATGTGGGACCCTCCTCTGGTGGCTGGGGAGCAGCCGGGGATCGAACCGGCACTGCAGAGGCTGCAGGCAGCTTCGCAACCCAGCGCTCAACTGCTGCGCCACCGGGGAGGCCCAATACGATCTCCTTTAAACCCAATCCACCACTGGTTGTAGGTTTCAAGGTGCCAGAGGTCAAGGGAAGAAAGCCTGCTCAGGTGCTGTCCCTTCTTCTCTTACTAATGCTAACACCCCACTTCTGGCCCCTCTTGTGCTTTCTTACCTCCCTCCTGGGTATGGATCCCAAATCACCTGTCACATACCATCTTTGTGAACTTGAACACCTCCTCTCATCCCTGAACCTCTTTCTGAAAGATGGGAGACGCATCTACTCAGCAGTGTTGTGAGGACTGATTTTGAGTAGCCAACGTAATCATGGCCTCAACAGTCACAGAAGCCAGGAGGTAATAAAATGAATTGAGCTGAGGAGGTAGAAGAAAATCATGTGGCCCCTTGGCCTGTCTTTAGCTTTGCCACTTTTAGTAGACATCCAACTAGAAAGAATTATAGGAAAAATTGTATTATCTATGAAAAATAACAATGTAAGTGTGCTTGTACATGAAATAAATAATCCCTATTTATAAATAATAGGTACAAGACTGAGATGTAGCCTCAGTGTTGGGGGGTCCTGGGGTGGTGGGGATTTGTGGGAGCCAGAGCACACAGACTCCATCTAAAAGGGGCGTCCTCTCAGCACTAGCCCATGGCTGCCATCACAGGATGTGGAGCCAACGTTAACATATCTCCTGTTTTACAAGAGATGCTAGAGCTCTAAATTTTTAATGTGAAATCTCCCAATTCTAAAATTTGTGTTCAATTATTTTTCTAAGAAAACACAATAAAGGCCAAACTAAGCCTGTGTGGAGGCCAAAATCAGCTCACGGAGTGGCAATCAGCAACCTAGATAATGGGGTACAATATAGTTTCCCTTCCCCCTCCTTTTTGCCTCCCTCTCTTTCTGCTTTCCCTCTCTTTCTCTACATCTTTCTCTCCTGACCACTCTGGCCTTTATTTCTATACTAAGTTCAAGTGGCAGAAAAAAGGAGTAAATTGAGGAAATAAGAGAGCCCCAAGGGGTGTGGTCTAAATGCCTCACTGTCCCCCAAGGGCCCCAATCAGTGTCTGGCACAGAGTGGGTCCTGAGGAAACTCTCGATGAGTGAACAAGCCAGCAACTGGGGCAGCAGTTCAGTTTCCACTTAAGGACTCTACTTACCTGCGGAACTATCTCATTTTTCTCAACAGCCTTAAGAAGTCGCTCTGGCCGCTCCATCATCAACGGGAACTGGGCAATTGACCGACCCGGAAAATACGAAGGCGGAGGAACCATGTTCACCTACAAGCGTCCAAATGAGATTTCCAGCACTGCCGGAGAGTCCTTTTTGGCTGAAGGGCCTACTAATGAGATTTTGGATGTCTATGTGAGTTTGGATGTTTCTGGACTGTTGTCTAGAGTTTGTATCTTGTTGCTTCTAAGGACCATGCTTAGAACAAATAGCAAATTATTGCCGTTGCTCCATAAAACCATTTGAGTGGAGCCTTTTGAGGTGCTCTTAAATGTTTGGCGTTGGTCTTGGCCATTCACCTCGAAATGTACCTAGTGCATAGAAACCTTAAACTCTACCAGATGCTTATTACCCTCAGAGTTTATTGATCCAGTAAAACCAATTTTACTTGTTGAACCAAATCAGAGACAAAACATGTCCTTTATTTCATGAACATTGGATCCCCTCCAGGCACTTTCCTCTTAATGCTAATTTGGCATGTTTTCTTTTTATGGCAAAAGAAAGCAAATGCCTGAAGCAAGACAAGACCACAGTTCTCAGCCCTCTTCAGATTCCTTTAAAGCAAATGAAGGAAGGAGAATTCCAGAGTACTCCAGATGATACAATAAGACTTGCAGTAAGATACAGAGAATTACTAGAAGTTCCCTGCTTGGTAGAAAACAAAACTTTGATTTATTTTACACAAAACTAAAATATTAAGTAGCCCCATCACTTAAACTGATCCTTAATTTTTAACAGAAACTACTAGAATCCTGTCTTCCTAAAAGATTAGGAAACGGTGACAAGAAACAAAAGGTCAAGATCACTCATTTTGGTAAAAAGAGTGAGCTCAACCTCAAATGTCTGTTCTTTTGCTGTCTCCAAAGCCAGACTGATCTACATGACATTTGCTGTGTTAGAGCTTTGTAAGTATTACTTTTCTAGCTATAGGGTTACATGTCCATTTCTCTTGGGCCTAGTGGCTCATGGACTAGAAACTATAAAAGAACCCTTGTTCTAGTTAATTTTGAATATTTTTTTTAGGCTGTCCAGTCGGTTGTTGGACTGTGGATAAGTTTCAAATGGCATTGGGGTAAAAGCCCAGGTATTTAAAGGCCCACGGTGGGTGATCCCAGATGTGGTAGCCAAAAATAATTTCATAACTGGGAATGTGGCAGAATGTTCACACAGAAGCAGCGCAGGAAGCAGGGAGGGTTTCCAGTCTCAGATCGAATGTGGGGTTGTGTGAAAAGAGAAATGAGGGCATAAGGGAACACACGGGGACCCAAGGTCATGCCTCTGCTCCCCTTGGGGTTCGACATGTAGTTTCTGGGTATAAAGAGCCCAATGGTCCATCCTTATACCTGCTTTCTGTTGTCTGAATTATAGGATGAAGGCCCCATTTCACAAGTGGGGAGCAGGTAAGAGATGATGGTATAAGCAGGCAAAACAGAAACTTTCATGGGCTGGACAGGACCCACTGTGCCAGGAGGACTCAGGGATACTTGTAGGTAAAAGGACCCTAAAGATCAGCTGTCATTCCAGCTTCCTCTTCCATCTCTACGTGAAGAAATCAAATACTGTGAGGTGAAGGGACTTGCTGTAGGTTACAGATCTTACAGGACAGCCCCTTTGGAAACAGTAGAGACTGAACTACAGAACTGTCCCCCTGCCTGGCTCCTGTGTACACTGCAGATTCCCGCTCTGCTGCTCCCTTCAGACCACAGCCCCCTCACACCTTCCCACTGGGAAAGGCATAGAAGGACACAAAGGATATTTGTGCTTCAAAGCCAACTGGAAGGGATTGGTTCTGCTGGGTCTTGCTGATTTATTCTGTGTCTTTGCAGGGTGTTTCACTGCTACTTCTACAGCCCTGTGTAGCTCCCTGCTTTAGCCATTGATTCCTGCAAGATGGTGGCCCAGGGAGACTTCCTTCTCTAAGACCTGTTTTCCTGAACCATCTCTTTGCGGTTCTCTAGCTTTCCTTGGATAAAAATGAATGAGGGAGATGATTAGGGCAGACCTTTCCTAAGCCAGGCTCACGGTCAGAGGACTTTGAAGGAATCTGAAAGATCCTGGGCAGCCCCTGCCAGCAATCTGATGCTCTTTGACAGCTCTCTCTTGCCACCTAGTGTTTAAACGTGTTCTCTTGTGGTGTAAACCTACATTTATGAACATCGTGGAGCGTTAAGCCAAGTATGGGATGACTGGGAGCCCAAGCAATAGTTCCACTACTATTTTTCCCATCGCCTTATTTAGAATTTATAATATCTTCACCTCCTGCCCACTCTTTTCTGACTTTCTCAGAGACTAAGTTAAGTACTTTGCCCTCCAAAAGCAAATAACAAAAAGCTGTATGAAAATGCTGCCATTTAATCTGTCACAGATCTTCTAATATCATTGATGTGAGTCAACCCATTCATTTATAGATAGTAGCATTTATACCATGAGAAAGCGGGGACAGGATGAGTAGGAATGGGATGAGCATGTGTGCCGGGGCAGTGACACTGACCTTTGTGTCGTTGTCAGATGATACACCAGCAGCCAAACCCAGGAGTCCACTACGAGTATGTGATCATGGGGACCAATGCCATCAGCCCGCAGGTGCCACCTCATAGAAGACCAGGTAATTCCTTGTTTTCTGGCCACTCTCTCATTGTTTTCTGGCCACTCTCATTTCCTTTTAAAAGCCCCTGTCATTTTTTGTGCTCCCACCTTCTATCCTTCAATCAACAGAGAGAAAACTCATGGACACACATGTCAGAGTCAGTGGGCCTTGATAGCAGAGGATGCTTCACCATTTGTGAGAGCCCAGCTCAGTCTATTTCATTCATCTGATTAAAAAATGAAGTTTGTATCCTGGGTTGGTCATCACCGATCAACATTTTGTTATGTTTCATTTTGTTTCTCTTTATTGAGATAACACTGGCTTACAATACTGTCTATGACTTAGGGGAATAAGTTCACACCTCCTCAGATGTATGTCAGCATACCGCCCCCCACAATCTAAGCACCCAAAGTCCTTTATGCTAAGCCATTGGGCTCCCTCCTCCTTTTGAACCCACCTTCTCCCTCCCTCCACCTTTAATAGCTGTAGCTCTGCATTCATATTTCTAAAGTTTGTTTTAGATTAGTTTTGTCAGTTCCTTTATTTTTTCTCTATATTCCACATAAGTGAAATCACCCGGTATTTGTCTTCCTTCTGATTTATTTCACTTAGCATGATCTTCATTTCCAACCATGTTGTTGCAAATGGCAAGAGTTTATCTTTTTTAGAACTGAGTAGTATACCATTATATATACTATATATACCACATCTTCTTTTTTTTTTTTTTTTTTTAAATTTCAAAATATTTTATTATACTTATGCATAGCACCCTTTTATAAAAAGAGCATTTTGCAGATGATTTCCTACGATTGTTTTGTTGTATTTCAGTGCTGTGCCTTTCACTTTTTTTTTTTTTTTTAAATATTAAATTATTTTTATATTCCCCCATACAATGCAAAACGCCCCATTCTGACCCCAATCCTTCCCCTCCCGCCCCCCCACCCCCCAAAAAGTGTCTCTGGTTCATAGTTTTTTGTTGATTTTGATTTTCACTTTCTTATATTCATTTTCCTGGTCCCTTATTTAAGTTTTCTAGATTCCTGCTATGAGTGAGACCATCCGGATTTTTCTTTCTTTTGGCTTATTTCGCTGAGCATGATTCCCTTCCAGTGCCATCCATGTTGCTGCAAATTGCATGTGTTTATCTTTTTTGAATGCTGAGTAATATTCCATGGTATATATGTACCACATCTTCTTGATCCAGTCATCTATTTTTGGGCATTTGGGCTGTTTCCAAAGCTTAGCTATTGTAAACAGTGCTGCTATAAACATAGGTGCAGGTGCTCTTTGGAATTGATGTTTCTGTGTCCTTTGGGTAAATACCTAGGAGTGGAATTGCTGGATCATATGGAAGCTCTATGTTTAGTAGGTCCAGAAATCTCCACACAGCTCTCCATAGTGGTTGGACCAGTTTGCACTCCCACCAACAGTGCACAAGAGTTCCTTTTTCTCCACATCCTCGCCAACATTTGTTGTTGCTAGTTTTTTAATATGTGCCATTCTCACTGGTGTGAGATGGTATCTCATGGTAGTTTTGATTTGCATTCCCTGATTACAAGTGATGTTGAACATTTTTTCATGTCTGTTGGCCATTTGCATTTCCTCTTCAGAGAAGTTTCTTTTTAGCTCTTTGCCCATTTTTTGACTGGATAATTTTCTTTGTTGTTGCTGAGTCTCATCAGCTCTTTGCAGATTTTTGTGATCAGTCCTTTATCATTAGTGTTGGGTGCAAAAATGTTCTCCCAGTTGGTGGGGTTCTCTTTGTTTTGTTATTGTCTCTTTTGCTGGCAGAAGCTCTTTAATTTGATGTAGTCCCAGCTGTTTATCTTTCTCTTCACTATCACTGCTTGGGTGATGTGTCTGTAAAGATGTCTTTGATATGCAAATCCCGTAGTGTTTCGCCTATATTTCCTTCTATGTATTTTATGGTTTCAGGTCTTATGTCTAGTTCTTTAATCCATTTTGAGTTGATTTTTGTGTATGGTGTGAGGTAGTGGTCAAGCTTCATTCTTTTGCATGTAGCGACCCAGTTTTCCCAGCACCATTTATTGAACAAACTTTCTTTGCTCCAATGCATAGTCTTTGCTCCTTTGTCAAAAGAAGTTGACCATAAATCTGTGGGTTTATTTCTGGATTTTCTATTCGATTCCATTGGTCTGTATGTCTGTTCTGTTCCAATACCATGCAGTTTTGATGATTATGGCTTTGTAGTATAGTTTGAAGTCTGGGAGTGTGATGCCTCCATTTCCTTCTTTTTTTTTCAGTAGAGCTTTGGCTATTCGGGGTTTTTTGGTGATTCCATATGAATTCATCAATAATTGTTCTATTTCTTTGAAGAATGCCATTGAATTTTGATTGGAATAGCATTGAATCTGTATATTGCTTTTGGTAGGATGGCCTTTTAATAATGTTTATTCTTCCAATCCATGAGCAGGGGATGTCTTTCCATCTTCTGTGTCTTCTTCTATTTCTTTTAACAGTGTTTTATAGTTTTCTTTGTATAGTCCTTTACCTCTTTTGTTAGATTTATCCCAAATATTTGATTTTTGTTGTCGCGATAATAAAAAGGGGTGGTTTTTTTATTCTTCTTCTTCAGATTTATTGTTTGTGTATAGGAAGGCTACTGACTTTGCGTGTTGATTTTGTATCCTGCCACTTTACTGAATTGATTGATGAGTTGAATTAGTTTTTCTGTGGAGATTTTGGGGTTCTCTATGTATATTATCATATCATCTGCAATAGTGATAGTTTGACTTCTTCTTTTCCTATTGGATTCCTTGATGTCTTTCTCTTGTCTTATTGCTCTGGCTAGGACTTCCAGTATTATATTGAAAAGCAGTGGTGAGAGTGGACATCCTTGTCTTGTTCCAGATCTTAATGGAATTGCTTTCAGCTTTTCACCATTGAGAATGATACTGGCTGTTGGCTTGTCATAGATGGCCTATGATGTTGAGGTATTGTTCCTTGATCCAAGAATTTCAGGGCTTTTATCATGAATGGGTGTTGCACTTTGTCGAAAGCTTTCTCGCATCTATTGAATTATCATATGGTTTTATATTTCTTTTTGTTGATGTGTTGGATAACGTTGATTGATTTTCGGATGTTAAACCATCCTTGTGCCTCTGGAATGAATCCAACTTGGTCGTGGTGAATTATCTTATGGATACATTGTTGGATTCTGATAGCTAAAATTTTATTGAGGATTTTGCATCAGTTCATTAGGGAGATTGGCCTATAGTTTTCCTTTTTGTGTTGTCCTTGTTCGGTTTTGGTATTAGTGTAATATTGGCTTCATAGAACGTGTTTGGTATTGTCCCTTCCTCTCAATTTTTTGGAAGAGTTTGTGAAGGATAGGCACTAATTCGTCTCTGAATGTTGGTAGAATTCATTTGTAAATCCATCAGGTCCTGGGCTTTTGTTTTTGGGAGGTTTTTAATTACCATTTCAATTTCGCTGCTTGTAATTGGTCTGTTTAGGTGTTCTATTCTTCTTTATCTAGCTTTGGGTGATTGTAGAGTTGTAGGAATTGTCCATCTCCTCTAGATTGTTGAACTTGTTTCCATAATACTGTTCATAGTAGTTACGATTATTCTTTTGATTTCTGCTGTGTCCGTTGTGATTTCTCCTCTTTCATTTATGATTCTGTGATATTTGTGCTTTCTCCCTTTTTCCTTTGTGAGCCTGGCTAGGGGTTTGTCTATTTATTTATTTTTTCAAGAACCAGCTCTGGTTTCATTGATCTTTTGGATTGTTTTTTTAGTTTCAATTTCATTTATTTCTGCTTTGGTTTTTATTATTTCTTTTCTTCTACTGGTTCTGGGGTTTTTTTGTTGTTCTTTTTCTAGATCTTTGAGCTTCGAGATTAGGTTGTTTCTTTGAGTTCTTTCTTGTTTTTTGATGTGAGCTTCTAT